TCACATTCTGACAGTCGATTATTGCTCAGCTTTGTTCCAAAAATCTGCAGAACGATGCGTAATCGATTTTCAAGTTGATAATCGATTATCCATCGTCTTCTACCTCGAGCCAACTTGCGGAAATGTCATTTTAAGTTCCCAAACTTCAATTAAAGTATACAAAAAGGTTCTCCAAGGTTCATAGATCATTTTGGTACCATTAATTTGTAGTTTTAACAACAATTTCAAAGTTTATGATTCTTGGTTCTTCAAACATGTCAAACACAAAATTCAACCAAACGACCGTTTATGAACGTAGAAACGATCTATATGAACATTCTAATAACTAGATATATCAACGGGCTTACCTCGAAGCTTATTGAAGGTTTTGGAAATTTTCCGGCGAAACTTCCGGTGACGATAACTCTTAGCTCCGGCGACTTCACACCAAATTGACGGCACCACTGCGTTCTACTCACTTAGAGTAACAGAATAGGAAGAAGTTTTGAGAGAAATGGTGAAGAATTGAATGAGTTGGGTTTTCTTATATAAAGTGGTGAGGAAGAAGAAGACGTAGGATGATGATTCCTTCGATTTAGGATCTACTAGTGCGCTAAGAGGCGCCGACAGAGCAGTACTCTAATTGGGACCAATTTTGGTTCCAGTCGGGGTACACTTTTTGGTCCAACTTTCTCCGAATTGAAATCCGTTTGCACCATTGCGATCGTGAAATTAAACTCTATCCAACGATATAATTTTTACATTTATTCGTTATACTTTTTCTGACATCATATTTTTGGATGTTTGACTTTGACATAGTAAAATTGATTTAGTTCATCTTTATTCAAAAAGGTTTCGCACATTTAATTCATATCATTTATTTCCATGATTTATTTCAATAAATCATTTCAAAGTTCACATTACAAACAATTTCTTCATTTATTCTTAATTTAGGTCTGTACTCGGGTTCCTAATCAAGATCACACAATAAGTCAACAGGTTGGATTTATCTCAATGAGATTTAACCCAGTTATGTTTATTGGACATTAATGTATATTTTATTTCGGCCAAAGCCCAACAATAATTTATTTTAATCAAAACAAATTTTGTTTAATTGAATATTTAATTCAATAAATTTTAGGGTATATTTTGGGGCGTTACATTTCTCCCCCCCTTAAAGGAATTTCGTCCTCGAAATTCTTCTAAGGCCCAACGTTCAACATTTTGTTGTGATCGCACTTAATCATAATCGCGTCATGTCCATTAAGTTAAATCATAATCACGTCATTATCCACATGGATAGTTATTCTCAAACTGTCGATGTTACGAAACTCGTTCTTTCTTCAAGAGATTAACAATCTTTCATTAAGCAAGACGTTCAGTGATCCTTCAGTGTCAACAACTAAGGTTTCTTTGGAATGTATACGGTTGTATATTTGACATACTCGCACACAACTTCGTTTATTCACAATTCCCAATTTGTACAACGTTGATTAACGATATTTCTTCTTTTGATTGATAGTCCTTCAGTAGCCTTTGCAGTTTCAAATTATCAAGTTCGCGATAGATGTAGAGGGAGATTTTTTTGGAGTTGTCTTCAATTCACACATCATAATGTATATTTCACTTTGAGATATCTTCGTATCGTTCACATAGTTCAACAATGATTCACAATTACGTCAAAGGTCTTTTAGTGGTCCAAGATTTTCAAGATATAGGATTTGTCATCATTTAGGAGGAAATACTATCGATCGGTTGTACAGTAGTTCGTCATTCATTGACCTTATGTCGAAACATTTCTTCATTCATCTTCATGGTAGCTCTCATTTATCATTTTTGATGAGTCTTCGTACTCATAAGTGATGACGTTCGAGTAGCGTCTCATGTACGATTTGTCATAATCAAACTTCTTCTATTAATTTGAAAACATATCTAGATATGATAGCTACAGATTTGATTGTAGTACTATGGCTGATCTCGTTTCGAGGAAAAAGATAATATCTTCAGTACGTGATTCAATTCATGAATTCATAGAGTGAGGAATCTTTACTAGTTCTTATACCAACATCGCATATAGGTTCAAGATCTTCACTTGAATGATTCAGCCTGTTTTTGTGATGTCATTTCTTCTCTGGTTGTCGCACATACATTTCCTTGCTAGGATTCTAACAATATCATCGATAATAATCTTCAGAGATAGCGTAATCGTATTGATCGTTTTGTAGTCCCCAAAGAGAGGTTTAACATAATGTTTAAGTCAGGGTAGTTTTACTATTGTGATCGAGTCACTTATTCAATAGGGTATAGTTTCCAAAGATCGATATCATGGTATCACCGAGTATTGTTTTGGTTCCAATGAAGAATCATGGTTTTAGTATTTTGATACAAAGAATGGAATTCAATCTTTTCAAGATTGATCAAGCGAGATATTTTCAAGGGTGTAGTTAACACAACAAGTTTGAGTATTTCAAGGATATGAGTCACAAGATACAAAGGTAGCGTTTGCGAATTATCATTACTAATCGTAGGTTTTCTTCCTTCAATGTTTCACTCTTTGGAAGTTACTCAAGAGGTCGTTGTCTTAAGAAATAGCCATTTTGACTTTTCGTCTCGGATTTGAATGTGTTTCAGGATAGCGAATCTAACTGTTCAAGAGTCTCAATACGTCATATCATCAGCAGAGTGTAGTTTTTGGTTAGCACGTCATTATCGGTAGGTAAATCGAATCCGTCTTTGCTGTACAATTTTCGACTAAGGATAACTACCCTTTTCTCAAAGATCGAATTTCAAGTCTATATATATAGCATGATTGTGATGAGGGTATCTCATATTCTCACATTATGGAAGGAACTTCTCGAACTCTTTCTTATACCATAAGATTCGTTGGTCTACTTGATAGTCATGCTCTTGGTAGTAATCCAAGGTTCATGGCTACAGCGGTCGATCTAGGACGGGAATTGGTAAGGCGAAAAGTCAGGCTTACCTACGGAGGAGGCAATGTTGGTCTTCAAGGAGCTGTAGCTTCAACAGTCTATAATAATGGTGGTAGAGTCAGAGGTTTCATACCAGGATATATAGCAACACGATAGGTTTACGGACCTACGTACGGTGTAGAGTACACTGTTTCCAGCAATTATAAGTATTTCGAGATGAATCATATTGTGGAAGCCTTCATCGTACTTCCTGGAGGGAATGACACTATGGAAGGTTTATTCACCTTGATCTCATGGGCATCCGAAGGGTTACACAATAAACTCATTGGTCTTTTGAACATTGACGGTTATTTCAATAATCTAATCAAGTTTCTAGATGATGCGGTGAGGCAGAACTTCATGGCTTTGAATCAGAGGAAACTGTTTATCTCTTCTTTCTTTGTTGATGAGCTTTTTGACAAACTAGAGTTTGCTAAAGCTTTTCCAAGTCCTGATGCTAATTATGACGAGTTCGCAAATCCCGGGGGATTAGATTTAGAATTGCATTTGTAACTTTCCTCATATAATCCAAGTTGTATTTTGTGTTGAAATAATATTATCCATAAATATTATTTAACGTTGTATGGCCAGCGCAAACTACATTTTCTTCATTCTTCAGTCTTTCATTGTCGGTGTCACTGTTTCACTTCATATCGTCACCACAGTCGCGATCTTTTCACGTCAAAATGATATCCGGACGAGTCAATTATCTTAATGATTTGTTTTGTCAGCATCACTTACTTCATCGACGTTTTCGATGATAGGCAATTAGGTCATTAATCGCTTCATAACAAGGCACCAGTTCATTGAACAAGGT